AATACAGTAAGGCCCCTATGTATGAATGAGCTACCTTCTGAGAGCATGTTCATAAGTCCAATTTGTTTGTAAGTACAACAAAGCCTAGGTACCCAACTGACACAATCAGCTATATATAACTGTACCAGGTTTATAATGTGCTTAGGTGCTCAGCTGTGTCCAACTCTTTGTGACCCCACAAACTGTAACCTGCCAGGCTCCTCTGTCCATGGGGATTCTCCAGGCAAGAATACTGGAGTGGGTTGCCATTACCTCCTTCAGGAGATCTTCCCAGCCCAGGGATAGAACCAAAGTCTCCCGCATTGCAGGTGGATTCTTTGCTGTCTGAGCCACTAAGGAAGCCAGGTTTATAACACTTTTCACAAAAATAGTACATTAAAAACCACAAAAATAAAGAAAACATTTTAAAATCTTACAGTAGAGTACCTTGAAAAGTACAGTGGTATACAGGACAACAGCTGGCGGACAGGGGCTGGCACCTAGTGAACAGGCAAGAAGTGTTACTGACTGGAGGGGGGAGAGGTGGCCGATGGTAGAGGTGAAGGATCGTCAGCAACAGGAGACAGAGGGCAAGCTGCCACTTCACTCCTGCCTGACATGATGGCACAGGTTCTGCTTCCTTGCTGCATTCAATCCTATCTACCCTCTTGAAAAAAATGATCCAGTGATATCTAGGCAATAGCTCCTTTTTTCTTGTCAGAGATGACATGGTAGTACTGGGTTGCATTCTGAAGAGCTGCTGCAACCGTCATGTAGCATTCTACATTCGGGTCCTGCCCCTCTCACACTAATGGTGCCTCCTCAAATAAATAAAACCCCCCTGCCATTTCCTGCATCATGAATCTCTTCAGTTCTTCAGATACCTCTTCTTTTTGTCTCTTTTCATCCTTTCTCTAGTAATGTACACAAAAGCACAACCACTTGTAGAGAATGCACACACCAGACACATGAACTAACTTATGTGATTGGACACGTAAACACACATCCACAACACTGAACGTTCATGACTTGAAGCTTTGTATGTAGTGGACTTGCTGTAACCTATAACATGCAGTCTGTTGTATTTCTCATGTGGCAGTCACACTCAGCGTGTAGCTGTGTGAACATGTGAGCTATTCCCCATGGTTAATAGCTACTCTGTCACTCTGGAGCAGTGTACCAGAGAAGGACTGAGGTCCTAATGAATTTAAGGAGAAGGGAGGGTGTCCCCAGAGCAGAGGGCCCCAGGCACCAAAGGGTCACTCTTATGCTTTCTTCAGTACTGGCTCTACCAATCAGCTCCTATAGTCAGGGTTTCAACTGTTAGCCTGAGAATATATCGCTATGGAAGGATCAAGTCTCCCTAGGAGCAATGCCCCTGTCTTTGGGGGTAGAAGGGGATGGAGGGCAAAAGCTCAAAGGTGGATGGTGGGACCTACACACCTGTTGACATGGCCACCCTGAAGCACAGTGGCAACAGAGGAGGATTATGCAGCATTTATCATGAGGATGTGTGTGTGGGGTGTAGGAGCAGAGCATGTGAAGAGATGGACTCTTCAAGTCAATCCTCTCACCTCCTTGCTTTCTCCCCGCTGGCTACAGATCACTCCAATTTCTCTGGTTTTTCTCTTGATTTTGGTTTCTGAAATCTACATTTTCTTGTCTCCTCCCCAGTTCATCCAGGGTTGATTCTGGGGTGAGAGCCAGAAGCCTATGGGAAGCTCCTGCTGGCATGTCTGGTGAAACCCACCTCAGGGGCCGCTCCCGGCCTGTCCCCCAGACCGAGTCAATTATCCTTACAGATCTGCCTTCCACTCTGCCCTGTTTTATTTGGGATCTTTCTTTGCCACTGACCAGAGGGAATTCTGAGCCACATTTGGGACAGTCAGTCCTGAGAGAGTCAGAGCCTGAGGAGTCTGTGAGGGGCCTTCATTGAGAAGGGAACGGAGGTTTCCAAGCACTCTCAAGATGTCAGGACTGGAATTCCTGATCCATTATTGACCTCTCAGGGCCACAGACACTGTCACTTACCCAGACTAAGCCTTGTGTCCTTAACTATAAAAAGTTGAAAGGTTGTTGCTGAGCCATGAAAGACGCTGGGATTCTTGGCCTCCAGAGGAGAGGAATTCAATCCGGGGCCAATGATGAGGCTTGAGCATGCAGAGCTTTTGTGTGATAAAGTTTTATTAAAGTATAAAAGAGACAGAGAAAGCTTCTGACATAGACATCAGAAGGGGGCAGAAAGAGCGCCCCCTGCTAGTCTTTAGTAGGAAGTTATATACCTACTAGCGGGCTGCCAATTAGAGAAAGGAAATGTCTCAAAACTCAGAGAGTGAGACCAGGCCCCTCACCCACAACATGCATTTTGAGATAACATTGGCACAAGGTGAGTCATCCCAGGCCATAAAATGATTGACATGAATCTTGAAAGGCAGGTTTCTAAGCAAATACACAGTCTCATTAACATAGCTTAAGAGAGCGTTTGCATGAGTAAAACATATTGGGTTTGTCAAGGCAGTTCTGAGTCTTAGGCAGAACCAACTTGAAGAAAGACAGTCTAAGGTAAATACACAGTTCATTAACATAGCTTAAGAAAAACATTTCCATAAGAAAAATGCATTGGTTAGCTCAAGGCTTGAGAAAAGTTACGTTCAGGTGGAAGCAGGTGTCTTCACAACAACAAAGAATTTTGAAAGAAACCTCCTTTTAATTTTGTATAGAGAAGGGAAAAAAGCCTGACTTGTAGTTTGTTTCCTCCTGCTGTGTAAGAGAGAGAGAGAGAAAAAAAAAAACAAAAAAACATCTGACACCTGCAGCCTATTTCCTCTCTTTGGAGACCCCAAGCCTTCCTGCCTGTTACCCTCTCAAAGTGACCAAACCTAGATAAATAATACTATTGACTAAAAAGATGCACAATATGAGAGTTGCAAGTTAAATTTTATTTGGGGGCAAAATGAGGACTGCAGCCTGGGAGACAGTACCTCAGATAGCTCTGAGAGACTGCTCCAAAGAGGCAATGGAGGAAGGTAAATATATAAGATTTTGGTGAAGGGGGCATTCAATGCAATCAAGCACTTACTGTGCAAAAGGTTTTCTGCTAGTCAAGGGGAGCTGATGTCACTATGAAGGGATTTAGTGCTTTTCTAGATATGAAGAGATGCAAGGATTAAGGATCGTGAAATCAGTTCCTGAAAATATCCATCTGAAGACCTGTTCCACTAGTTTCCCTGGAGCACAGAGTGCCTCACTCTCCATCCTGAATTCCCCTCAGTAGGTGTTCAGCAGCAGTAGAGGCACAGGTTTCAATCTCCTCAGAGGCAGATGGCAAATGCTGTTGTTGTTGTTTAGTTGTTGACAAAGGCTCTTGGCGAGTGCCAACTTTTGGTTGACAATACTGAGCATTGAACCTGATTCCAGGTAATAGGGAGGTGGGCTGGGATTGGAGTTGTGACTTTTCAGGTCTCCAGAGTGTCCAGATAATGTTTTTGTATCCCCTGAATTGGGGACCCAGGGAGCTTCATAGAGAAGCAGTCACATCTCTCCATGCTCCAAACAGAAACATGCTGTTGGACAGAACAGAAGTTTCCATATTTGAGAAATCCAGCACAGCCAGCATGAGGCCTCTGTGCATTGAAAGAAAGCGATGTTTCCCAGGACCGTGGGTGGGCTGTGGGTGGTTGAGATGGCAGATCTCACCTGACCAAGTCCTCACTTGCATCTCAGGCCCAGCAGCCCTGCTCTGCTATCGATAACTTAACACACTGTCAGGGGAGGTCTTTCTCACTTCCAGACACTTCTGAACTGGGGACAAAATCTCTGTGTGAGTGGAAACAAGCTTCTGGTGACCATGTGTGTGTGACTTTACCTGCTGTTACATGCTGGCAAGAGGGCAGGGCTATTTGGGTGACAACAGGTTTGGAAAGAATTTTCACAGACCACCTGATGGCACTTTGGACACAGTGGACTTGCAATGAATAGGGCTCTTCCCTGATCAATAAGGGTCCGGGCCGGGGGCTGTGGTTGTTCGTCTGAGAGCTCTGCTAACTGACTAAAATTCTGTGACCCAGATGTGCTTGCCAGGCACAGTTCAGGACATGGCTTATGGGCTTGGGGCTGGGCCAGCAAGTCCTGCGTCAGCCCAACCTCAACCACTACAGGGAATGGCAAGTTCACAGGGTGGTTGGAGGTTGGGCCTCTGGAGACCATCAGAGGACAGGGCTGTGGGTACAGGAAGAAAAGGCTGGAGTTGGGCCATGGAAGAGAGCTCTGACCACTGACATGAGCCTGGTGGCCAAGGTCTCTTGCTCTTTACTTCAAATCAAGCCTTTCAAACACAGCCTCAGTGGCCTATCGGCTCAGGGAAGATCTTACACCTCTAGAGTGACTGCTATGCTGACTCAGTGCCCTGCAGGCCCTGGGGCGTAACGCTTTGTCCCTGAGCCATGCCAGCTCTTCTGGAAGACTCCCCTAGGAGGATTCAACTCCAAATGAAGATCATCCACCTCTAGAGTGACTGCTATGCTGACTCTCAGTGATCTGCAGGCCCTGGGGCATAATGCTTTGTCCCTGAGCCATGCCAGCTCTTCTGGAAGACTCCCCTAGGAGGATTCAACTCCAAATGAAGATCATACACCTCTAGAGTGACTGCTATGCTGACTCTCAGTGCCCTGCAGGCCCTGAAGCATAATGCTTTGTCCCTGAGCCCTGCCAGCTCTTCTGGTAGACTCCCCAAGGAGTATTCAGCACACGGCCCGCCAGTCACTCAGTGTCCCTGTCTTTTCCCATCTCTTCCCAAGGAGGAGCTCAAAACACATTTGGGGTGAGGGTATGAGGTGGTTCTAATGACTCAGAAACAACAGCAGAGGCTTCTTCTATTATTTTTATTTTATCAGGCTTGGAGCAGAGTCAGATTTAGGGAGGACTCAGAGTTGAACACATTCAAGTACAGCCAGTTGGCAAAAATGCAGTGGGCTTCTGAGAAGAGAGCCAGGGGCCCCCATGTGTCTGTCAGAGCCCCATCGTCAGAGGAAAATCAGCAGCAGGAGGAAGGTTTGTGAAGCCACAAGGACTAGGAAGCTCCTGGGCTTGTGGACATTGCCAAGAGAATTCAAGTTGAACAGAGCAGGAGGTTTCTCCTCAGCAGGAGCAGTGGAAGGGTCAGGATTGGGCGAGCTTTTCTGCTTCTCACTGATCCATTGGTTGTAGTAGGAGACTTTGGTGAAAATGCTGGGGCCTATGGGCTTCTCACAGGGCGTGCTAAAGCTGGACAGCCCCATCAGATACCAGGTGTCATTTAATTTGCAGACGAGGGGTCCCCCAGAATCACCCTGAGGAAAGAGAAGGCATGAGTCATGCGGACCAACTTGGAGATGGATAGGCGTTGTTCAGAAAGTGTGCGGAGAACACAGTGGAGTTTAGAAGGCCTCATGGCTAGACGGGAATAGGAGTGAGTTGTTATCAGAATTACATGGGCAGTTTGAAAGGTCCAGACACAGGGGTTCCACTGCAAACCTTTTGCATCAAAATCTCAAGGGTGAGGCCTTAGAGCTCATTTCATGTCTACAAGAAGAAACAGGCTCAGGATGTGAGTTCTCTTCCCTCCCAACCCCATGTGAGAGAAGGTACCCTCTACTGTCCTGAAGAATGGCTGTGGCAGGCCTAGAAGCTGCCAACTATCTGCTCAGCCTAGCATTGCATCCCAACCATCATTTTTGTTGTTCAGTCACTAAGTCATGTCCCACTCTTTGTGAGCCCCACAGACTGCAGCCTGCCAGGCTTCCCTGTCCTTCACTGTTTCCTGGAGCTTACTCAGACTCATGTCTTTTGAGTTGGTGATGCCTTCCAACCATCTCAAGTTCAGTCATACCCTTCTCCTCCTGTCCTCAATCTTTCTCACTGTCAGGGTCTTTTCCAATGAGTCAGCTCTTTGCATCATGTGGCCAAAGTATTGAACCTTCAACTTTAGCATCAGTCCTTCCAATGAATATTCAGGGATGATTTTCTTAAGAATTGACTTGCTCTCCAAGGGACTCTCAAGTGTCTTTTCCAGCACTACTTTCAAAAGCATTAATTCTTTGGCCCTCAGCTTTTTTTATGGTTCAAATCTCATATCTGTACATGACTAATGGAGAAACCAAAGCCAGCTTGTTCACTGTCCTCTTTCACCCTCATCAAGTGGCTCTTTAGTTCATCCTCATTTTTTTTGCCTTTACAGCAATATCATCTGCTTATCTGAGGTTGTTAATATTTCTCCTGGCGATCTTGACTCCAGCTTGTGATTCATCCAGCCCAGCATTTCGCATGATGTATTCTGCATACAAGTTAAACAAGCAGGGTGACAATTTACAGCCTTGATGTACTCCTTTCCTAATTTTGAACCAGTCCGTTGTTCCATGTTCTCTTCTAACTATTGCTTCCTGACCTGCATGTAGGTTTCTCAGGAGATAGGTAAGTCCCATCTATTTAAGAATTTCCCAGTTTGTTGTGATCCACACTGTCAAAGGCTTTATTGTAGTCAGTAAAGTACGTTTTTCTGGAATTCCCTTGCTTTTTCCATGACCCAGTAGATGTTGGCAATTTGATCTCTGGTTCCTCTGCCTTCTGTAAGTTCAGCTTGAACATCTGGAAGTTCACAGTTCATGTACTGTTGAAGCCTGGCTTGGAGAATTTTGAGCGTTACTTTGTTAGCGTGTGAGATGAGTGCAATTGTGCAGTAGTTTGGCATTGCCTTTCTTTGGGATTGGAATGAAAACTGACCTTTTCCAGTCCTGTGGTCACTGCTGAGTTTTCCAGATTTGCTGGCATATTGAGTGCAGCACTTAAACAGCATCATCTTGATGTTCTTTGTTCATGTACTATTGAAGCCTAACTTGAAGGATCTTGAGCATTGCTTGCTAGCCTGTGAAATGAGCACGTCTGAACATTCTTTGGCATTGCCTTTCTTTGGGATTGGAATGAAAACTGACATTTTTGAGTCCTGTGGTCACTGCTGAGTTTTCCAAATTTACTGGTGTATTGAGTACCAGCAAATAGCATCGTTTTTTAGAGTTTGAAATATCTCAGCTGGAATTCCACCACATCTACATCTAACTGTGTTCACAGTGATGCTTCCTAAGGTCCACTTGACTTCACACTCCAGGATGTCTGACTCTAGGTGAGTAATCACACCATTGTGGTTATCCAGGTCATTAAGACCTTTCTTGTACAGTTCTTCTGCATATTCTTTCACCTCTTCTTAATCTCTACTGCTTCTGTTAGGTCCTCACCATTTCTGTCCTTTGTTGTGCACATCTTTGCAGGATATGTTCCCTTGGTATCTCCAATTTTCTTAAAGAGATCTCTAGTCTTTCTCATTCTATTGCTTTCCTCTATTTCTTTGCATTATTCATATAAGAAGGCTTTCTTTTCTCTCCTAGATATTCTTTGGAACTCTACATTCAATTGGGTATATCTTTCCATTTCTGCTTTGCCTTTCTTTTCTCTTTCCTCAGCTAATTTTGAGGCCTCCTCAGGCAACCATTTTGCCTTCTTGCATTTCTTTTTCACCTGAGGCAAGTCTACACATAGACATCACCAGATGGTCAATACTGAAATCATATTGATTATATTCTCTGCAGCCACAGATGGAGAAGCTCTGTACAGTCAGCAAAAGCAAAACCTGGAGCTGATGCTGGCCCACATCATTAGCTCCTTATTGCAAAATTGAGGCTTAAACTGAAGAAAGTAGGGAAAACCACTAGGCCATTCAGGTATGACTTAAATCAAATACCTTATGATTATACAATCGAGGGGAAGAATAGATTCAAGGGATTGGATCCAGTAGACAGAGTGCAAGAACTATGGACTGAGGTTCATGATACTGTACAGGAGGTGGTGCTCAAAACCATTCCACCTGAGCTTTTGCGTTTGATTTACTATGGTTTCTAGTTTTTCCTCAGTTTCTTGGTTAAACTTCTTTAGAAAATGCCAAGCTGCTAGATGTGCTCAGAAGAAAAGAAGTGAGGCCTATGCTGAGGCTGGCAGGATGGCTGGAATTGAAGGGAATCCCAAGGGACTTCCAGGAGAATGTGAGGAGCTTTGAGTGTGGGACACCAAGACAGGAAGTCACCTGCCACTATGGGGCATAATGTTTCCATCTCACAGGGCAAAAAGTGGAGCCAAGGAAACACAGCACCCCTCCACCCTTTTGTATTCAGCATGGGTATTCATTCAGAACATGACTGAGCACATTCTGCACGTGAGACAAGGTGATGATGCACAACACAACATAGACAATACATTCTCCACATCTGCAGACTCAGAGGTGAAACAGAAGTGCCCAGAGGAGGATCTTCAGAGAGTTTCTCTAAGCTAAAGCTGGAGAGATGAGCAAGGCCTGACTCTGGGAGATGCAGGCAGAGGTGGCCTAGAGTGATAAGCTCTGCCCCCAGTCCTCATCAGCCAGGAGCTGGAGGTGAATCGAGCACTTAAGGACATCCAGCAGGGAGCTGATGTGACCTAAATTGGATTCTAAATGGATGGTAGGTTGGTTCTGGGGCTGGACAGAACATAGTCAAGCAGGAGGTCACGAAACTGCAGGGACAACAATGAGGACACGACTGTGGCAGCAAGGGTAACAAAGACAGGCAAGAAATGGCCGAGACACAGAATCTGCCATATCTGACCCTTCCTCTCTATCTAAGGAAAGAATGGAGCAAGGCAAGAAAAGCAGGATGAGGATGAGTGCTAACGGATGGGTCCTTGGGGGGTTGGTGTCAGAAGGAGGAGAAAGGGAGCAGGAGACACCAGAGGGACCACCCTTAGAATCTGATGAAAAATGCTGCAGGCTGCACTGCTGAGTGGGTGTGGGAGGAAGTCTGATATCTACTAGCAGCCCCAGTGAGGCTGAGGCCTTTGGTTATCTTGATAAAAGCAGTGTGGGGGAATGGCAGGTGCTGATGTTTGATGAAGTGAGCTGAGGTGAGAAAGAGAAGTGAGCAAGCAAGAGAAGGCAAGTGCAGACATCCTGGGATGACCTCTGCTGGGAAGGCAGGCAGAGAATTAGGGCAGTGGGAAGAGGAGAGAAGGGTCATGTGGCATGTATGCTTCTGAGACAGAGAAAGCACTAGAAAGAAGGTGTGGGAAGAGAGGAGAATGTGTGAGAAAGCTGGTGGGGGCACAGCCTCAGAGAAGGACATGGTTCTTCTAAGGCTGACTTTGATCATCCTCTGTCCTCTTCCCTTTCTGGACCTCGGTTCCCCCACCATAAAAAGCAGCCCACAATTCAGTTTGAAATAAGGGCAAAATACTTGGAAAGATACTACAAAAAGGCAATACACATATGGAAAAAACCTTGCCTTCATTATTCATCAGAGAAACACAAACTAAAAATCCTCACAATGGTTAAAACCAAAATGTGGACAGTGTGAAGTCCTGGCTGCCACGTGGAGCACCCATTGTTGGTGGGAGTGCAAATGTGTCCATGCAGGGTGGAAGGCTGGTCTCCTGTATCTAGGAGAGATGAACACGCGCACATTTTATGGTATGGTAATTCTACTCCTAGCATTATACCCAACTAAAATATGAACCCATGAACATTAAAACACATGCACCAGGATGCTATTTGTGAGGGTCTCAAGCAGAAACTACCCAAATGCCATCAACACTAGAATGGAAAAAGAAAATGACGGTACATTCACACAACACTAAGCAGGTAATGCTCCACAGCAATATGACACATAACAGAAACTCCACGCAAGACAAACGGAACTCACACACACAATGGTGCCTGAAGGGGACTGAAAGTGTGTCCTGTGAGATTCCATTATGTCCTGACAAGCATTTATGTTCATTTCTGTCAAGGCTACTCTGGGGTAAAAGGAAAGGGTATGAGGAAGCCCATTTGGATGCTGGTTACTTGAATGTGTCAATTTCTAAAAGACACATCCAATGATACACTTGTAAAGTATGCCCTTTTCTATGTATTCTATCCTTCAACAAAGCTTCTAAAAGTTATAAAGAAAATGGAAGGAATGGATCAGCACCCTTTGAGGACTTCTCTGCTTCAGCTCTGATGCATCGTTCTGGGGTGGGCCTGGGAAGAGGAAGTCAGGGACTGGGGAAGGGCTCAGAGAAAACAGGAGAGGGGACAGAAGCCGCAGGAGAGGAGAAGAAGCCCGTGTCACTTACTCGGCAGACAGACTTTCCTGTCAGGGAGTCTGCAGCGCACAACATGCCGTCCTTTATAGCAATTGTTTGGTTGCTTGTTTCTGGCGGTTTCAAAATCGATTCACAAAATGAATTATCCAAAAAGCCGACCTCTGCTTCCTGCAGTGTTTTGGGAGTAGGTAGGAACTCTGCAGGTGAAGGGAGAGGAGTTCAGATGTGGGGTGGACCCTGAGAGAGAGACCAGCTCGCTCCCTAACTTTGCTGCTAATAGAGACGCTGCCAGTTCTAGTTGCCAGGATTGGGGAAGCCTTCAGTGGACGTGCAACGATGAGGGGGAAAGAAACCTTGCAGATGGAAGAGCAAATGTGAGGGGCCCATGGTGGGGAGGATGAGGAGGGAAGTCATTGTGGCTGCAGTGGGTACAGTAGGGGATGAAAAAGATAAGGCAATATCACAGCCGAGTCCAGAGCAAGCAGGGCCTCCTCACCAGGATGTAGAGCTTGGATTTCATTCTAAGCACATGAGGAAACCACTGAAGGATCTGCTCACCTTTAAAAAACAACTAATCTTTTGCCTTGTGGAAGCAGAAGCAGAGGCATAGACGGTGGAAGCTGTGTCTTGGCTTGGCCAAGGCGTTGCAGTGCCTCGTGATGCTTAGGCGGCTTGAAAAACGAGGCATGGCTCTGCCTCCTAGAGGAGCACACGTCTAGGGACACTGTCCATGCGGGTGCTAGTTCTAGATCTTGTTCACAGATCGGAGGCACCCTCCTGTGGCGGCACAGTGTGCTGCTGATGGCTGGCTCCTATGCAGTGCTTGCTCCGTGTGCCTCACAAGTCACAGGGCTGGCACAGGCCCAGCATCTGTGATCAGCAGAGGGTATGGAGAGGCAAGGACAGTTGCCAGCTGGGAATCTCTTTAGTGCCAGCTGCTCCCTGTCCTGGTGGCTGCTCCAGCCTGTGACTTCCCTTCATGTCCCAACACCTACCGTCTCACCTGTCTTGGAGAATCTTTCTTGCTTTGCCAGTGGTTCTTAACAAGTGACAGCCCATCCCAGGAGATGTCTTTGGAAATGTTGGAGAGTTGGCTGTTCTCATGATGAGGCATTGTGACTGACATTTGTGGCCAGGAGCAGGGATCCTGGCAGTGGCGGGCTCAGCAAACAAAGCCCTGCCCCAAATGACTCCATTGAAATATGGTCTGCCAAATCATGACCCTACAAATCATGTCAAATTTACATTCCACATTTTTTCACTCAATGTTATTATTTTTCTGAATCAAAGGCATTCACCCTAGTGCAAAAGTCTCTCAGTCTAAAAAAAGCATGCCCAGCACACTGGCAGAATGGGTAAGCTTCACTTGAGTTAAGGGATGAGGGACATGAGATTTATTGATGCAAATGTTCTTAAGCCTTAAATGCTCCAACTTAACCTCCCTGGGCAGAGAGCAGGCCTACCTTCATTCCCTTACTGCTGCCCAAGTACCTCTACCTGCAGTGGAAGCTCAAGAGGTGTCCTGAAGGGGCTTGCCCAAACAGGACCAGGGAATCAAGTTGGAATCCTGAGTAGCTGAGTCAAAGAGCTCAAGATCCTGGTTTCGAAAGTTAGAGATACTCAGGCTGTTTTGAACCATGGGCTGAAGGAAACTGGAAGCAGAAGGGCTGGAAGGGCCCCGCAGCGGTTACTGTGTCCCCTCTCCCCCTCCTCAGCCCTGGCTGTTTGTGCCTGCCCTGCCCCCACTCACCTTGCTCAGTGACCATCCCCCAGCCAGTTATCCAGCAGAAGATAAGATCGAGCGACTGGATATTAGCTTCAGGGAGGCAGACAGTGCGGATGGAGTCAGAAAACTTTGCAGGATGATACAGCTGCAAGAGAGTTATGTCACTCTCCTGGAAGTAGCGTTTGTTATAGTCAGCGTGGATGAAGAGTCGGTACACTGCTGCCAACTGACTGTATGAAGTAGGTTTTTCTAGTTGGTAGTACCCCAGCAAGATTTTGTAGTCAGATGGCTTATGGGACCTGTTGTGGGAGGCTTAGTTACTACCCATATCCTCTGTGTGCTGGGCCATCATCCTTACCCTGGCTGCCTACCTCCCATCCCCTCCTCCTGGTACACACCACCATCATTCCAAAGGATTCTTCCTCCTTCTTCCCTAATATTGATTGAGGTAGGTTTGATTGCTGTCCACAGTCTCAGGACATTTGTACTTTGAAAGTTTCTGATGGCTTACCCAGCATGTAATAGAATCAAAGGAGCAGAGTGTCTTTGTGCTGGAAAGAAACTTCAGATACACATCAAATGGTAACCCTTTAGTTTAGATGAGCAGTCCCTTAGACAGCAAGACGGTCAAACCGGTCAATCCAAATGGAAATCAACCCTGAATATTCACTGGAAGGACTGATGTTAAAGCTGAAGCTCCAATACTTTGGCCACCGGGTGCAAAGAGCTGAGTCATTGGAAAGACCCTGATGCTGGGAAAGACTGAAGGTAGAAGCAGAAGGGAATAACAGAGGATGAGATGTTTGGATGGCATCATCAACTCAATGGACATGAGTTTGAGCAAGCTCTGGGAGATAGTGAAGGATAGGGAAGACTGGCATGCTGCAGTCCATGGGTCCCAAAGAGTTTGACATGACTTAGCGACTGAACAACAACAAACTGCACCCCTACAGTTTAGGCAGCAGATACTTGGCTCATTCCCAGCTCTGACCAGAACACTTGGAAGTTCCCAGGACCAGAAATGATTCTCAGATTTCTCAGCCCAGAATAATGCACCCCTCTCCTGCCCGGACCTCTCACACTGTTTTCTCTATAAGCTGGTCGTCCTCTTTTGACAGGCACTCAACAAGTCTTTGTGGAATAAATAGAGGAGTTCATAATAAATAGAGGAGTTCATGGAACTGAACTTCTCCTTGCTGCTGGAACATGAGAAACTTTCTACCTATATGTTCTGCTTAGACTGTCTCTCTAGCCAAACTCCTCCTACAAGGCCCCTCCAACTTCAAGCCCCTCATCTAACAGCACCCACAGACTTCCTTTAGCAGTGGCTCAAGATTTACTTTCTTGCATATTCTGGCCTCCCAACCTGTATCACAGGAGTTGGGCTTGTGTCTCACTTTCCTGGTAGGATCAGAAACTTCAAGATGGGCTCTGCATCTCCAGTTCCCCCACAGTGGACCTCACGTGGGGCCTGGCACCTAGGGGTGCTGAATGAATAAACAGAACCAAAGTAGGATCTCAAAGCCAGCTGATGCCAGTAGCTCTAGACTCCTGACTTGGAAGGTGACACTTTCCACCCACTCCAGGTACAGAGCAAGCCCAGGATGCACCTGAGGAGCAGCTCACTCTCTTGACTGCCCTGTGCCATTTCTCTGGACAGAGGCCATCTGCTTTATGCATCACTCTGGCCTGTGGGGATGGTGGTGACCACAGCTCCTCTTAGGCACATGCTTCAACAAAAGTGACAAGAAGAGCTGGATTCCAAAATGCCTCCAGAAAGAAACTTGCTAGTCTGTGGAAGAGGTCAGGACCCAGGGAAGCCTCTAGCAATTGCGCTGAAGATGGCCTGTGGATTGCCTGGTTGGAAGAGGGCAAAATGTTTGTCCACACCAGGACTTGATGGATGCTCCCAGCTCTGGCAAGCCTTGGGACTATGGTTCCAATACTGAGCCTGAAGCTTGTGCCTGGCATGTGACCAGAGACACTACACATCCATTGCTATTTTCACAAAAGGAAGGTAAAGCTGAGATCTCGTGCACTCTCTAGACCTGGGCAAGATGTAGAAATCAGAGTCCATGTTGAGTGGGAATAATATCTAACTCCTAAGTTTAGGGAAGATGAAGAGTAGATTGGAAGCACTTAAAATGGAAGTAAAGTCCACTTCCTAGTATTTACTGATCATCACAATTAGAATTAATTTCCATTTAGCTATTTACATGCATATTACATGCAGCCAAGACAACGACAGCATCTTGGCAAGTATTACCAGAGTATGAAAGGGTATCCCCAGAGGGAGAATGAGGCAAATAGCCCCTGTCCTGGGATTCAGACAGGAAACTGGAGTCTAGTGAGGATCAGGGATGGCCTTCCAGGGAGAGGGGACTTCGGAGTCAAAGGCAGGGGCAACTGCACACACAGAGATCCTTGGTGGCAGCAAAGCATGGTCAAAGCCTAAGAAAGAAAGACTAGGACAGCCTTCATCCCCTTCTGTCCTGCCCATCTGTGCTCCCTCCCCATCCCACCCAGCAGCAGGCTGTGGGAAAGACGTACATTTGGAAGCAGTGGGCAGCTGAGATCACCCAGTAGTCACTGATGAGGGAAGCTCCACAGATAAACGTACCCTGGTAGAGAAGACCAGCTTGCCAAGGCCAGTGTTTGTCAACTGTGTTCTTGCCACCAGTGATCCTCCCAGTTACGGCAGTCTTCCCACATGCTGTAGAGACAGTCCCAGCCATGAGATCTCTGTGTTATGGATGCCAACTTTGGTGCCTCCAAAGGTAAGTATCCATAGAACCCAGGCCACCACAGCCCATCCTGCCACTTCAAGCTGGAAAATCCAAGAGCCAGGGTGGAATGATTTGGCTCACATGACAAAAGGCCACCTAACTTCGCTGGTGATGGTGGTGCTCCAGAAGCAGCCTGTGGATCTGGAGGGGGCAGGAAGGGAGGCAGTTGCAGAGGGGCTTATCAGCACAGGGCAGAGGTCCAGGATGGGCAGTGACCCAGACCTAGTTCACCTAACTAGCACACTGCTTTTGAAGTGCCAGAAACTGAAGCCTTCCAGAGTGATGACACTGAGACGAAGTAGAGGCACCTCTTCTCACCCATCCTCATATTCTAGAGAGACTGAGGCCAAATAGAACATGCTCTGCTTGACAGCTCTCCCTCTGAAGCGGTACTTCCTCATTCTCCAGATGAAGAGTATGGGGGCCAACAAAGACAGGAAGTGCAGGCCGCGGGTCCCTGGACAGGGGACAACTGAAATCTAGTAGGAAGGCCTTGCAGGGAAGTGGGCTATCACTTCCTCCACCTCTCATGCCCCACAGAGACTCAGGGACTCCAGAAACCACCGGGCAGGTACAGAACCTACCGGTCTACTGTCAGGGCGGAGACGGGAACAGCGGGGAGCAGAGGGACCAGACACATGAGGGCAAGCGACCTTGACCCCCCTGACCCTCCTGCTTACTCACATGACACGGCAGACACTGGTGGTCCATCTGTGGTCCCAGCCACCTTGGTGTGTGGCAGGAGTGAGTGCAGGCAGAGCAGGACAACAGCCAGGGTGCAGGCTACCTTCCAGCCTGGCCCTGAGCCCTTGGCCGCCGTGATCTCCATCCGGCCGGTCCTACATCTGCGATCTGACTGAGCTGACCGCGGCTCGCCTGGGCCCCGGGGCATGCTGGGAAACCGTCTTCTTGTGCGGGCCACACCCGTGATCTGGACCGGAAGGCCTGCATGCAGTTGGAGAAGCAGCCTGCCATGGGTGTCTGGAGCTCGTAGCCCCTGGTCCCTGGACGGTAGTCATCGCTGGGAGTCGGCAGGTTGATGGGGGGCAGCAGAGGGCACATAGGATCCCTCTCCAGTGACCACATTTAGCTGGGGAGTCATCATGGACAGCTGTGGCAGTATGACAAGGAATATATACTAACGCGCAAACGAATATGTACTAGGAATATGTACAAGGAATAGATACTAATGCTCAGAGGAATTGATACTGGGAGTATAAACAAGGACTATATACCAATGCTCAGAGGTCAGGTGCTTCTGTAAGTGTCTTCAAATGTGACCAACTTGCTTTCAAGATCCAGTGCACTTTGCACTCATCTGTTCCTCCATCCCCCACTCCCCATGTGATCAGGTCAGGGCCACCAAAGGTAATATCCCTTTCTTAAACTCACTTGGTATTATACAACATGACATGATCATGGGATGGATAATCACAGGTCTTCCCCACACCCAGCAAGAGACAATTATACGAGAGAATGGGTCTTTTATACGAGAGTATGGGAGTCTTTTGACTTCCATGGTGGCTCAGGCGGTAAAGCATCTGTCTACAATGTGGGAGACCCGGGTCTGATCCCTGGATGGGGAAGATCTCCTGGAGAAGGAAATGGCAACCCACTCCAGTATTCTTGCCTGGAAAATCCCATGGATGGAGGAGCCTGGTCGGCTACAGTCCATGGGGTCGCAAAGAGTTGGACATGATTGAGTGACTTCACTTTACTTTTCCGTGGGTCTTTAGGGGGTCCAACTGCTGACCTCTAATGACTAATGTCCTCAAATGCCAAATCATTCACTATGCCTTAAGGTCCCCAAGAGTCTCATCCTATTAAACTTGAAATTTGAAGTCTCATCTGTTGGAGGATGTCATCAAGAGGATATAATCACAAATTGACCCTGGAGCTGAACCTGGGCAAATGGAGGCTCCTCACCCCTTCCCTGTTCTTGGAATGTAGGTTCTGCCCACAAAGGGTCTGCTCCAAGGATGCAGCCCTGAGGGAGTAAGGTGTTGGTGAGACCATCTGGACAGTTTATATGACTGAACCCAGTTAATATCTCCATATAATCTTTAAGATTCTTGGTGGGGGGTGGGGTGGGGCATGGGTGGTTGCAGAGATCTGCTTGTCTTGGGACCTCCAAGCTTGTTAAAGCTTAAAAATTGTTAAAGTTAAAGTTAAAGCTTGTTAAAGCACAAGTTAAAGCTTAAAAATTGTATTCTAAATTCACTTGAAATAATGGAGACTTGGCTGTAAAAAATATGAAGAAAATGATCATTGTGGATGCTTATCATGGCTTTTTTTTTTTTTTTTTTACAGAAAGTAACATGTGTTTGCGCTGAAATAGCTCTATATGGTTGCTTCCTGTAGTAGAAATCTGGGGTCCAACTTTCATTTTGTACCTTCTTTGTCCCTTTCAGTAAAGATGGTAGTGTTTCTACTGTCATAAACTTCTCAAGAAATTTGTGGTCCTTGCTGTGGCTCTCACTAGGTTTAACTCCATTAGACAAAGTCACAAAACAGATTGTTGAGATTATTGCTTTCTAACTTGGCCTTTTGTTGAGATATTATGTATATATCACTGCAATAAAAAGCTGGAAAAAGGTAATATGACTGTCCCAACTATATCCAGAGACATAGAGGAAAAGATTGGAAATTTTGAAGAGAAGTTGGAACAAGTGAACAGAGTGGGAACAGAAAGGTGGTAAAGCATGGTGACTGAGATCAAAGGTGGCATCAGGTGTGGGAGAGTAGAGTATTGCGATGCTAAGTGGGACAAGGGGTGGGACACAGGACACTTCAGGCAGGTGGGTCTGAGGACAAAGGTGGCCTCCCATTAAGTGGCTGCAGAAAAACAGTTTTCAGTGAACATTGGGAGATGAAATGGATTTTGGTGAAGATGGGGTCCAGGAGATTTGCTGCTAACCATCTAGGCTGTGTCTGATTTTGTTCAGAGGAAAGAAGGGCATGAATGTCACTGGAACAGATCCCTTCCATGCACTCCACATGTCATCTTCACAACTATAAGCATTCCCAGTTTGCAGGTGAGGAAACTGAATCCAAGGATAAACCAACATTATACAGGGTTTGCAGGGTTAGGACTCAAGCTCAGCTCTGCTAGTGGCTTGCCCTTCTGTGTCCTGCTCCTGATCAGTCAGAACCCTAACATTACACTGCCTGCCCAACCCCAATCTATTTTCAAGGAAGTACAGAAGACAGTCTTCAGCCTGTGCCTATGACAGGGCTGTCACCACTTTGAACTGGTTAAGTGTGAAGAGGAGAAGGGTGCTGTGAGCAGTGGCGAGGTACTGGGAAGCCTGTGGACACCTGGAAAGGAGGCTTCAGAGCCACCTGGGGGATAGACTGCCCAGACCCCCTTCACAGATAAGGAAGAAACAGCATTGAGAGGGAAAGTGACCTGCAGGCAAGTTCAGTATCAGGACTGGGCCAAGCTGGCAGGCTCTAGAATCCATGACAGTAACCACTGCCTCACACAGCCTCTCTCTACAGGCCTGAAAAATGCTGGGACAGGTGCAGACTTCCCCTCTGGCTTTTTGTAAAATGAGAAGTAAATTTGATTTACAATGTTATATTAGTTTCAGGTGCACAGCATAGTGATTTGATATAGTTATGATTGTTGTTATTGTTCTTTGGTACCTAAGTTGTGTCTGACCCTTTGTGACCCCATGGACTGCAGGGCACCAGGTTTCCCTGTCTTTCACTATCTCCTGGAGTTTGCTCAGATTCATGTCCATTGAGTCAGTGATGCTATCTACCCATCTCATCCTCTGCTACCCCCTTCTCCTTTTGCCTTTGATCTTTCCCAGCATCAGGGTATTTTCCAATGAGTCAGCTCTTCTCATCAGGTGGCCAAGTATTAGAGCTTCAGCTTCAGCATTAGTCCTTCCAATGCATATTCAGGGTTGATTTTCTTTAGGATTGACTGGTTTGATCTCTTTACAGTCCTAGGGACTCTGAAGAGTTTTCTCCAGCACCACAATTTTAAAGTATCTATTCTTCAGTTCTCAGCCTTTTTTATGGTCCAGTTCTCACATCTGTACATGACTACTGGAAAAACCATTGCTTTGACTATGTGGACCTTTGTCAGGAAAGTGATGTCTCTGTTTTTAATATGCTGTCTAGGTTTGTCATAGATTTTCTTCCAAGGAGCAAGCATCCTTTATTAATAATTTCATAGCTGAAGTCACTAGCCACAGTAAATTTGGAGTCCAAGAAAATAAAATCTGTCACTTCTTCCACTTTTTCCCCTTCTATTTGTCATGAAGTGATGAGATCAGATGCCATGATTTTAGTGTTTTGAATGCTAAATTTAAAGCTAGCTTTTTCACTCACCTTTTACCCTCATTTAGAGGCTTTTTAGTTATTCTTCACTTTCTGCCATTAGAGTGGTATCTGTATATCTGAGGTTGTTGTATTTCTTCCAGCAGCCTTGATTCCAGCTTGTGATTCATTCAGGCAGATATTTCACATGATGTATTCTGCATATAAGTTACATAAGCAGGGTGACAATATACAGCATTATCATACTCATTTTCCAATTTTGAGCTAGTCAGTTGTTCCATGTCCAGTTCTAACTGCTGCTTCTTGACCTGCATACAGGTTTCTCAGGAGATGGGTAAGAAGGTCTGGTATTCCCATCCATTTAAAGTTACTATAAAATATTGGTTATATTTCATGTGTTTTATAACACATCTTTGCATTTTATTTATTTTATATCGAATACTTTGTACCTTTTAAGCCCCTATCCCTACCTTGCCTTTCCTTTCAATCCTCCCCTCACTGGTAACCACTAATTTGTTTCCTGTATCTATGATGCTGTTTCTGTTTTATTATTTTCATTAGTTTGTTTCCCTTTTTAGATTTCACATATAACTGAAAACATACAATATTCATCTTTGTCTGGGTTACTTCAAAAGCACATAATACCCTCCATGTCAATCGCATTTTTTCATATGACTTATAATATTCCATTGTATGTATATATACCACATATTCTTTATCCATTCATTTGTCAAGTTACACTTAGGTTGCTTCCATATTTTGGCTAGTGTAAGTACTGCTGTTATGAACATTGGAGTGCAGGTATTTTTTCAAATTAGTATTTTAGTTTTCTTTAGATATCTACCCGTGAGTGGAATTGCTTAAACCATATGGCAATTTTACTTTTAATTTTTTTTAGGAATCTTCATACTGTTTTCCATAGTGGTTGTACCAATTTACATTCTTACCAACCATGAACTAAGATCCCTTTTCTCTACATCCATCAATATTTGTTACTTGTTACATCCTTGCCAATATTTGCTATTTGCAGATCTTGTTCTTGGTAGCCATGCTGACAGATGTGAAGTGATATCTCATAGTGGTTTCGATTTGCATTTCCCCAATAATTAGTGATGTGCATCTCTTCATGTGCCTGTTGGCTATTTGCATGTCTTCTTTGGGAAACTGTCTCTTCAGGCCCTCTGCCTATTTCTTACCTGAATTGCTTGGTTTTGAGTTGTTTGAACTGTTTATATATTTTGCATATTATTAATCTCTTATCAGACATATCATTTGCAAATATCTTCTCCCATGCTATAGGCTGCCTTTTGGTTCTTCTTGAGGGTGTTTTTAGTTGTGCAAAAACTTTTAGGTTTAATTAGGTCCCACTTGTTTATTGTGGCTTTTGTTTCCTTTTGGAAGCCTTAGGAGACAGGTTCAAAAATATATTACTAAGACTGTATGTTTTCTTCTAGGAGTTTAATGATTTACACTTAGGTCTTTAAATCATTTTATTTGTATATGTGGCATAAGAAAATGTTTAAATTTCATTTGTTT